TCTCCACATCCATGCCACCACTTGGTATTTTCTGGTTTGGGGTTTTTTTTTTTTTTTTTTTCTAGATAATAGCCATCCTAAGGGGTGTGAAGTGGTATCTCATGGTTTTGATTTGCATTTCCCTAATGATTAATTGATGTTGAGCATCATTTTGTGTGTTTATAGGCCATTTGTATATCTTCTTTGGACAAATGTATATCCAAGTCCTTTCCCTATTTTTTTCAAAATTTTTAAATTGTGGTAAAGTAGGGGCACCTATGTGGCTCAGTCAGTTGAGCATTGACACTTGGTTTTGGATTGGTCATGATCTTGGGGTTGTGGGATCAAGTCTGGTCGGGCTGGTGCTCAGCAAGGAGTCTGCTTGGGATTCTTTCCCTCTTCCTCTTCTTCTCCCTCTGCTCCTCCCCCCGTTTGCAGGTATGCATGCATACGTGCTCTCTCCCTAAAATAAAATCTTTTTTAAAATTGTGGTTAAAATATACATAAATTTAACCACCTTAATTAATTCTATGTGCATAGTTCAATGGTACTATGAACATTCATATTGTTGTGCAATTATCACCACCATACATTTCCAGAACTCTTTTTATCTTGAAAAACTGAAACTTTATACCTGTTAAATAATAGTTCCCCATTCCTTCTTCCCCTCCCCCCATCTTGGGCAACCACTATTCTACCATTTGTATCTATGAATTTGACTACTCTAGGTACGTCATATTAGTGGGATCACATGATATTTGTCCTTTTGTGTCTGGCTTATTGCACTTAGCATAATGTCCTCAAGGTTCATCAATATCATAACATGTCAGAATTTCCTTCTTTTTTAAGGCTGAATAATATTCCATTGTATGCCACACTTTGTTTCTCCATTCATCCATTGGTGAATAGGGGTTTACTTCTACCTTTTGGCTATTGTGAATAATACTGCTAAGAACATGAGTGTGTAAATATCTTTTTGTGTTCCTGTTTTCAGTTCTTTGGGGTATATATGCAGAAGTGGAAATGCTGGGTCATATGATAATTATTATTATTTTAGTATTTATTTAAGTAATCTGTACACTCAACATGGGGCTCGAACTCATGACCCTGAGATCAAGAGTCACATCCTCTTCTGACCAAGCCAGCCAGGTGCTCCTCACATGATAATTTCTGTGTTTAATTTTTTGAGGCACTGCCATACTGTTTTTTTACAGCAGCTACACCATTTTACATCCCCACTAGCAATGTACAAGGTTTCAATTTCTCCATATCCTTAGCAACACTTTTTATTTTCTATTTTTGTTTGCTTATTTATGGTAACGATCCAATGGGTATAAAGTGGTATCTCATTGTGGTTCTGGTTTGTATTTTCCTGATTAGCAATGTAGAGCATATTTCATGTGCTCATTGGCCATTTGTATATCATCTTTTGAAAAGTGTCTCTATATAAGTTTTTTGCCCATTTTTGAATTGGGTTTTTGTTGTTGTTGAGTCTTAGGAGTTCTCTGTATATTCTGGACTGTTGTTTTTATCATGATTTTTTTCAAATGCTTTTCTTCTGCTTCAACTGATGCTCATGTGAGGGTTTTCTCCTTTATTTTATTAATGTAGTGTATTATATTGATTGATTTTTGTATGTTGAACAATCCTTGCATTCTGGGAATAAATCCCACTTTGTCATGACATATAATCCTTTTAATATGATGCTGAATTCAGTCTGCTAGTATTTGGCTGAGGACTTTGCATCAATAATCATAAATGATATTGATCTATAGTTTTCTTTTTCTTGTAGTATCTTTGTCTGGCCTTGATATCAGGGTAATGCTGGCATCATAGTATGACTTAGCAAGTGTCAACTTTTTGGGAGAGTTTGTGAAAGACTGGTATTAATTCTTCATTAAATGTTTGGTGGAATTCCCTAATGAAACCATCTGGTCCTGGCTTTTCTTTGTTACAAGGTCCTTTGATTACTGATTCAGTCTACTTACTAGGTCTATTCAAATTTTCTATTTCTTCCTGAGTCAGTTTGGGTTGATCATGTGTTTCTAAGAATTTGTCCATTTCATCTAGGTTGTACAATTTGTTGGTGTACAATTGTTCACATTATTGTCTTATAATACTTTTTATTTCTGTAAGATTGGTAGTAATGTACCCACTTTTATTTCTGTAATTTGAGATTTTGGTAATTTGAGTCTTCTCTCTTTTTTCCTTAGTCAATCGAACTAAGATTTGTCGCTTTTATTGATCTCTTCAAAGGATCAACTTTTGGTTTTGTTGATTTTCTCCATTGTTTTCTCAGTCTCTATTTCATTTAGCTCTGCTCTAATCTTTAATATTTGCTTCCTTCTGCTAGCTTTTGGTTTAGTTTGCTTTTTTTCTAGTTCCTTAGGTGTAAAGCTAAGTTATTGAGTTGAGATCTTTCTTCTTCTTTTTATTTAAATTCAATTAATTAACATATAGTGTTGCACCCAAGAGCTTTCTTTTTAAGAGTAGGCATCTATAACTATAAATTCCCTCTGAATATCACTTTCACTATATCTCAGACATTTTGGTATGCTGTGTTTTTGTTCATTTTTAAATATTTTCTAATTTCTGTTGTGATTTCTTCTTTGACCCATCAGTTGTTTACACACATTTGTGAATTTTCTAGTTTTTTTATTATTAATTTTTAGTTTCAATCCATTAAATTGGAAAAGATACTTTGAATGACTTCAATCTTTTAAAGTTTATTAAGACTTGTTTTGTAAAGAAGATGTCGTCCATATATACAATGGAATATTACTCAGCCATCAGAAAGGATGAATACCCAACCTTCACATCAACAAGGATGGGACTGGAGGAGATTATGCTGAGTGAAATAAGTCAAGCAGAGAAAGTCAATTATCATATGGTTTCACTTATTTGTGGAACATAAGTAATAGCATGGAGGACATTAGGAGAAAGAAGGGAAAAATGAAGGGGTGGAAATCAGAGGGTGAGACAAACCATGAGAGACTATGGACTCTGAGAAACAAACTGAGGATTTTAGAGGGGATGGGGGTGGGGGGATGGGTTAGCCCGGTGATGGGTATTAAGGAGGGCACGTATTGCATGGAGCACTGGGTGTTACATGCAAACAATGAATCATGGATCACTACATCAAAAACTAATGATGTACTGTATGGTAACTAACATAACATAATAAAATAAAATTTAAAAAGAAGACTTGTTTTGTGGCCTACCATATGGTCTATCCTGTACAATATTCCACATAAGTTTGAGAAGAGTGTGTATGTTTTAACATGGAGTGTTCTATATGTGCTGTTAGATTTAATTGGTTTATGGCGTTGTTCATGTCTGTCCTCTATTTCCTTATTGATCTTCTGTCTGATCTATCCGTTACTGAAAGTGGGGTATTAATATCTCTTATCAGTTTACCAGACCTGCTGTAACAAATATCACAAACTAAGGAGGACTTAAAACAAATTTATCTTCAGGGCCTCCGAATGGCTCAGTTGGTTAAGCATCTGCCTTCGGCTCAGGTCATGATCCCAGGGTCCTGGGATGGAGCCCTGCATCAGGTTCCCTGCTCAGTGGGGAGCCTGCTTCTCCCTCTCCCGCTCCCCCTGCTTGTGCACTTGTATGCTCTCTGTCAAATAAAAAAAAAAAAAAATCTTAAGCTTTAGATGCAACACACTTCATAAAACTGGTACTTCTTTAAAAAAAATAATTTATTTTCTCATAGTTCTGGAGGTAGGAAGTCCAAAATCAAGGTGTCAGCAAGGCCATGCTTTCTCTCATAGCTCTAGCAAGAGTCTTCCCTGACTCTTAGTTTCTGGTGTTTGCCAGCAATCTTTGGCATTCATTGGCTTGTGGATACATTGCTCGTCTCTGTCCCCCTCATCACATGGCATTCTCCCTCTATGCCTCTGAGTCTCTGTTTTATCTTTTTATAAGGACACAAGTTATTGTGATCGGGTCCACCTCAATCCAGTATGACCTCATCTTGACTAATAACATCTGCAAAGACTCTATTTCCATATAAGGTCACATTCACAGATATCAGGGGTTAGATTTCAACATATCTTTTTGAGAGTCATAATTAAACCCATAATAGGTAGAATCTTACAATGGCTGATGACATTTAAAAAATATATTTAAACATTTCTAAAATCAGAGTATATTTTACAAATTGGTGGCATCTAAGATTCTACGTAACATATTCGATAATGTGATAATTGCTATGAAGAAAAAAAGAGAGTGACTGACAAGTATGTGGGAGTATGATTTTAGGTTGAGTGGTCAGAGAAGGTTTTCTTATGCAGGTGACATTTAAGTATGGCATAATTACTTAGAAAGAGCCAGTTATGGAAAATCTGGAGCAAGAGTATTTTAATCAGAGGGAATAGTAAGTGTGAAAGGCTGGAATTGGAAACAAGTTTGGTATGCTTAAGGAAAGGCAAGAAAACCAGTATAGCTAGAGCATGGTAAGGAAGAAAGAGGGAGAACAAGGTAAGTATGAGGACCTAATAAGCACTTACTAATTTAAGAGTTGAGATGATGTAATTTCTGAAGGTAGATTGTTCATAAAAATAAAGGTACCCCTAAAGACATGTTAAAACTCCCACATTTGATACAATAAGCAAACACTTTCTAGCTTCTATAACACTATTAATCCTTTATTTGGATCCCTTTGATTTTTTAAAAAATTTTTTATTGTTATGTTAATCACCATACATTACATCATTAGTTTTGGATTGTAGTGTTCCATGATTCATTGTTTGTGCATAACGTCCAGTGCTCCATTCAATATGTGCCCTCTTTAATACCCATCACCGGGCTAACCTGTCCCCCCACCTCCCTTTGATCTTGATATGTGAACAAATTCTTGTTGGGCTCAATATTTTGGAAACTCATCTCTTTCATGAATGATTTAAAATCTTTAGGTTTTCTGAAAAATAATCTCTCAACTTCATGAATGTTAAAATATCTCATTGCTATTTCTTCACTGAAAACCAGTGTCTTCCTTATTTCTTTTGAAGATTCAAGCACAATATTCAGTTCTTGAGCAAAATCCCACTCCAGAAAGAGAGTCTGATTATCCTAATTTACCAGAAAGGTGAGTACAATTTTACACACCCCAATGTTGTCTAGTTATGGCAGGGTGGGGGGCAAATCTCATGCTCTAACTCATTGTGATGCTAAGAAGAGACCTCTTTGGGGTGTGGTGTCATCATTACTTTCTTTTTGTTTCAGTGGCATAAGAGAAGCAAATATGATGAAGCAACAGAGCAAACCAAGGCTAAGGGTGAAAAGTGCAGAAGCTTCTTCCTTTGACCTCAGGACTTCTTTCATAAGTGAAAAGAAAGGGTTGGTTTTGCACCCTACTGAACAGAGCAGTGCTTTTGACTTTTTGGAGCTAAACTGTAGTTGTAACAAAAATGCTGACACAACCACGAATTGGGAGGAAAAGGCGTTTGCAATAGCTGGGGAGCCTCTTCAGAAGCATCAGAGTTTAGACTGGAGTGCCATTTTGTTTGGAGCGTGTCCAAATTCTAAATCTGCTGATGTAGCAGGAAGGTATTTTAATTCAAAGGAGCCAATAATGCGGACCAAATCAACTCCCTTTGAGCTGATACAACAGAGAGACACCAAAGAGCTGGACATCAAGGAAAATGTTTCTTGTTTGGAACCTCAGCCCCACAACTCTCGTCTTAAGCAGGCTCAAAGAGCGAGGCATGTTTCTTCAGCAGAACTCAATGATTCACGGCCATCTGGCTCTCAGCCCCAAATGTGCAATGCCTCTCATGCAAAGAGGCAGGACTCTCATGCTCTTAATGTATATTCTTACACGTCTTTAGAAAATCCTTATTTCTTATCATTGTCTCCAAGTAGTGCTGGTTCTAAGATGTCTCTTGATTTACCTGAGAAGCCAGATGGAAACATTTTACCTTGTTCCCCATTGCCAGCATCTTCTACAACCCTCTTTTCTTGTTACAATTCACATGATTCTTTAGCATTGAGTGCTCCAACTGATTACCCCCAACAGAACCCAGAGACAGCGGTAGTAGGTAAGTTATTTATAGAAGTTTATATGGCATTTTGGATTTCACTGTGTTTCTATAGATTTGGTTTCTTCTTATGCTCCCCCTAGTCTTTCTCTGCTTCTTTCTCCTTCTTCCTTCTCCTCCTCAAAGAAATAAATTCCAGAAGGGTTTTCCTGATGTGATAAGTTAAAAGATAGCAATGACAAACATGTAATCGTTGATGAAACAGGCAGTGATGGAGGCAGTCAGAGCTGGTGCAGAATCTTTGCCAGCAAGAGTGCCTCTAAAGAAGGCAGCCCCCATTCCTCGGGATGTATATCAGAGGTCCGCAATTTACCCTTGCTATGCAGAAGCAACTTCCAAAGGAACAGCAGGAAGGATTTGATCCACAGCACCACGTGGTCATTCGGGGCTTTTATTGCTCAACCATATGGCTGCACTGAGTTGAACAGATCACTAAGCACTGAATGCTCTTCCTGCAGGAGTTGGAAGAGGAGGACCTGATTTCTTCCCATCTTTGTGTAATAATGTAGTAGATGAGAATGTGTATTTAGTGTTTTGTGTGGGACTTTCATCTTATAGTCACCTTTACGTTCATACTTTTGCACCTTTATAATCCTGGATTTTTGCATATTATGCATATTGTTTTTGTTTTATTGAGTGGTTTGAAAGTAGAAGTAAATATCCTGCTAGAGATGGTTACAATAGCTTGATATGAAAGAAGGTGAAGAAAAGAGCAAGTTTAACTCTCTCCAGATATATTATCAGAAATTTATAAATAACATTTTACCTGAATAGGAAGTAGAGAAAGTTGTTTTTTTTTTTCTATATCATTATTTATTGTACAACGTTTCTTAGTAGATAGATGTGTGGATGTGTAGTTTGTTACAAAAATATTTTATCTGGACCTAGTTCCTTCTTTATTTCATATTCTTTGATCTTGTTTTATAATTTAAAGGATTTTTTTTTTAAGATATCCACAATACCTTAAACTTCTCTGAGCATCATCATTTAAAAAAAAAACCAAAAAACCCGGCGAATCCCAGCTTTAGGTATTGTAGCATCGTTGACATGTGTGCCACCTGGTGGCAGTTTCCTATAATAGCATTTGAATTTTTCTATAAAAATTCTGACTTTTTCTGTAGAAAAATAGAAAACCTTGATATACGATTGTTTTGTAAAAAGGAAAAACATCCACATTCTTCAGTGTAGAATGAAGAAGAGATAATAAAATCTTTATACTTCTACCTACTCTGTAACTGAATCCTTGGCATATTTCAAAGTGCTTTATCATGCTTTATTGTATATTCCATATAAAACAAAAGGGTTATATAGAAAACAATTCAAAATCTCCCAAATTAATATAATGTTTTATATTCTGTTAACTGGCACTCAGTGACTCGATCAAAATACTTTAGAGCCTTTAAAAGAAATAATAAATTTTGAAGAAGCAGGAAAGCCTCCTGGGTTTGCAACTTAAAATGGGAGAATTTATTTTGCTTTTTCCTTGAGCAAACACATACCAGCTTAAGTATTGTAATGATGCTTGATGGACTTTACATCAAGATTAGAATATAAGAATTTCCTTTGGTGGAGCGCCTGGGTGGTGCAGTGGGTTAAGCATCCTGCCCTTGGTTTTGGCTTAGATTGTGATCTCAGGGTCTTGAGATTGAGCCCCATGTACAATTCCATGCTCAGCATGGGGTCTGCTTGAGATTCTCTCTCCCTCCCACTCATGCTTCCTCTCTCTCTCTCTCCCTCAAATAAATAATCTTTTTTTTTTAAAAAAGAATTTCCTTTGGATTTTTCTAATGAAGAATTATGGTTCTATTTCTGGCATTTTGGATAGCAACTTCTCCAAGGATAGATGATGAAGTCCCCCCTCCACTTCCTGAACGGACACCTGAATCTTTTATTGTGCTGGAGGAAGATGGTGAGTACAGTTCAGTAAGTGTAAAATAAAGTGGATTAACTAGAATACTTCTCAGGTCCTGTCAATGTTCTGTGTGCTATTGCTGAGTAACATCTGCATTGTTCTAACAGAATTACAACACTCCTAAGAATTGGACCATATTTACTTTCTTTCAGGAGAATTCCCACTGAATGTTCCCAATTCCTTATCTTCAGCTGTGGAGGCAAAAGTTGGAGCATCACTAGAATGGAGTGGAACATCTGAGTCAAAGACATCTGATGACACTGTGAGACTTAGACCAACTAAGGTCCATAACTATTTTTTTTTCCACTCATCTGGATTCAACAGACCATAATCCTACTCCTTGTATTTTTAACATCTATCACTCAATAAATCCTAAGCAGGTACTCCTTATAAAACAATGCGTTAGAGGATGTGGGGAGAAGACAATGGATAAAACACAATTCTTGCCCTTAAGAAACTTTCACATTGGAAGTGACTAAGGAAGGCTTAGTGAAAGAGGAAATATTTGAACTGGTTCCTGAAGGACAGTTAAGGCAAAAATAAATGTTTCATAAGTAGGTAGCCTGTTCATAGTAGTCATTTGGTAGGCTGTATCATGTTCGCTGCGATACATATATTGTAGAGAATGATTTTTTGAATGACAAATGTCTGTATTATTTAATATAAAGTCTTCGGAATAATGCTCCCCACTTCTGGAAGTAAAATCTATACTTCAATAATCTGTTATACATTTGTATATATTCTATGAACCAACTACCTTAAAATTTCAGAGATCAGAAAAGCAATTAACCAAACAAACATTTTAAAGTGCCTACAATTGCAATGCTGGTAGGCAAATTTCTCTATCTTTTAAATTACACTTTTAAGGGCGCCTGGGTGGCTCAGTTGGTTAAGCAACTGCCTTCGGCTCAGGTCATGATCCTGGAGTCCCGGGATCGAGTCCCGCATCGGGCTCCCTGCTCAGCGGGGAGTCTGCTTCTCCCTCTGACCCTCGCCCCTTTCATGTTCTCTCTATCTCATTCTCTCTCTCTCAAATAAATAAAATCTTTAAAAAAATTACACTTTTAATACATTAGTAGTTATTATTATTGTTAATAATATGCCCACATGTAATGGTCTTTGTCTTAACAACTGCTAGAGCTAAGAACAATCACTCCTTTTCCAATGTCATGAAGAAATTTCAATTTCAACAGTTTACCTCCAATTAAATTTTCTGGGAAATGTTCTGAGTAGGAAGGAAATAAATAAAAAAAGGATTAGTTTAGGACCAATTGCCATGACATATAAAAATCACCATAAGGGGGGTGCCTGGGTGGCTCAGTTGGTTAAGCGACTGCCTTCAGCTCAGGTCATGATCCCAGGGTCCTGGGATCGAGCCCCTCATCGGGCTCCCTGCTTGGCAGGAAGCCTGCTTCTCCCTCTCCCACTCCTCCTGCTTGTGTTCCCTCTCTCACTGTCTCTCTCTCTCTCTCTGTCAATTAAATAAATAAATAAAATCTTTAAAAAAAATCACCATAAGGTTATGGCAGAAGATATTTGCAAATGATGTATTTGATCAGGGGTTAATATCCAAAATATTTAAAGAACTTATACAACTCAACACCAAAAAAACCTAAGTAATCTCTAATTTTAAAAATGGACAGAAAACATGAATAGACATTTTTCCAAAGAAGAAATACAGATGGCCAACAGACATGAAAAGATGCCCATCACTAATCATCAGGGAAATGCAAATCAAAATCACAATGAGATATCACCTCACACCAGTCAGAATGGTTAAAATCAAAAACAAAAAGCAAGTGTTGGTGAGGATGTGGGAAAAAGGGAACCCTTGTGAACTAGTGGGAATGCAAACTGGTGCAGCCACTATGGAAGACAGTATGGAAGTTCCTCAAAAAGCTAAAAATAGAGTTGCCATATGATCTAGTAATTCTACTACTGGGTATTTACCAAACAAAACAAAAACACTAATTTGAAAAGATAGTGCCTGCTATATGCACCCCTATGTTTACTGCAGCATTCTTTATAATAGCTAAGCTATGGGAGCAACCCAAGTGCCCATCCATAGATAATGGATAAAGAAGAAGATATGACATACATATGTATACACACATATACTATACACATACATATTATGGGATATTACTCAGCCATAAAAAAGAATGAGATCTTGCGATTTGTGACAAATGGATGGACCTAGAGGGTATTACGCTAAGTGAGGTAAGTCAGACAGAGAAAGACAAATACCATATGATTCACTTACATGTGGAATTTAAGGAACAAAACAAATGAGCAAAGAAAAAAGAGACAGACAAAAAAATAGACTCATAGTTATAGAGAACAAAGTGAGGGTTAGCAGAGGGGAGGTGGGGGGGCATGGGTCAAATAGGGGAACAGGTTTAAGAGTACACTTATTGTGAACAGCACTGAGTCACATACAGAACTGTTGAGTCGTTACATTTTACACCTGAACTAATATAACACTGTATGTTAATTATACTTGAAGTTTAAAAAATAATTTAAAAATATTAAAAATTCCTAAGCCTTCTTTATAAAAAAAGGAAAAAAATAAGTTTACAAAAGGAGCGTAAAGCACTGTAAGAGTTAAGGATGCCTTTTCACAATTTAGTGCGCTTACAAATGAGGAAAAATAAGGTCAACATTTCATAACTATATAACTATATGAAATATGCTTTCAAAAATGCCTTTTATTGCTTTGAGTTTGTAAATTTGTGTACATTTTCTTTTTTCACTTTTCTCTTCTTTCTTTCTTGCAGAGTGTAAAACTCCGGAGTCCCAAATCAGGTAAAAAATTTCCCCTGGCTTTAGATGACATTTAGCCCTAAGAATTTATACTATAAGAATGACTCGTTAAGTTTAGAGTAATTCATCTCAGGAGATGGCATGGTTCCCATAATAGCTCCCACTATTTATTGGTTTATTTCTGATTTTCCCAGGCTAGGGGTTTTGTTTTGTCAAGGGCAAGGAAAACACAGGAGTTTAGAATTCTGCTCCTTGATACATAATCCTTAAAACAAACAAACAACAAAAAAAACCTATTTCAAGTAGAAATCTCTTAACACTTTGTAGCATTTCTATTTTATAGGTTTTACCGTTGTTAGCAGTGTGATTCTTTTACTTGCTGTTGCTTCTCCAGTATTTTCTTGAGCTTTGCTTTTTTTTTAAGATTTTATTTATTTATTTGAGAGAGAGAGAGTGAGCTAGAGAGAGAGAGAGAAGGAGCAGGGGGAGGGGCAGAGGGAGAAGCAGACTCCCCGCTGAGCTGGGAGCCCAACAGAGGGCTCCATCCTGGGACTCCTGGGACTCTGGGATCCTGACCTGAGCTGAAGGCAGATGCTTAACTGACTAGCCACCCAGGTGCCCTGAGTTTTGCTTGTTTTATACATCAAATAACAACATCCACAGTTAACATTTATTGGGCACATATAGGTACTTTACATATTTTATAACAGGTGGTAGTTGCCCTTAACATAATTATTCATATGAACATGTTATTCAAATTACATAGGTAGTTTAACATAGAGGTTAATGAGCTTTGGAGTCAGATAGGCTTTAATCCAAATCTTTAGCCTACCAGTAGTTATCAAAATGCATAACCTTGGTTAGATTATATACTTTCTCTATTGATTTTCCTCATTTATAATATGAGGATAATAGAACTCGTTTCTTAGAGGGTTTTTGTAAGGGTTAAGTGAGACAATGCTTATAAACCTTTTAACACAGTGGTTGTCAAATAATAACCTCTCATTAAATGTTACCTATTACAATTTTTATTAGATAATTATTAAATGAGCCATTCCTAAGCAAGTTCTATATGCCTTATACAGTGTTAGAATAGTCAGGATATATAGGAAAAGATACTGTTTAATGTTTATTTTCAAATTGGGTAGGCAAAATTAATACTTACTTGGAACCATTAACTGATAATCTGTGTGGACTGATTATAATCACCAGGAGTCTGGAAAAAAAGGAGGTATCACTGGAGTGGTTAGGAAATGCTTCACTGAGTAGAAGAAATAAATTTAAGAATATGGGTAGACAGGGCGCCTGGGTGGCTCAGTTGGTTGGACGACTGCCTTCGGCTCAGGTCATGATCCTGGAGTCCCGGGATCGAGTCCCACATCGGGCTCCCTGCTCAGCAGGGAGTC